AAAAGGCTAAGCAGATCAAAGTATGCTCAGCAGATATTTTCAGGTTGATTTTTAAAGTCTGAGGAATTATCAAAGATTTATGTCATTTTCTTTGGGAGAAAATCATTAAGAGTTTAATGGTGCTTTAGTTTTTTTTTCATGTCTTTGATAGTATAATTTAGAATTTTAAGTATTTTCATAAAAAAGGATGAGAAAAAATTAAGATAGATAACAGTAGCATCTATTTAGCATATATCCTTTTTCTTTTTCAAGTTACTGATTATATATTTTAATTTATAATTTGCAATTTGATAAGTGCACACATAGACGTATACTTGTGAAACCAACACCACAACAAGAAAATTAACATTATCCATTACTCTCAAAAGTTTCCCTGAGGCTGGGCTTGGCGGCTCTCGCCTGTAATCCTAGCACTTTGGGAAGTTGAGGTGGGAGGATCACTTGAGGCCAGGAGTTTGAGGTTGCAGTGAGCTATGATGATGCCACTGCACCTTAGCCTAGGGAACAGAGCGAGACTCTGTCTCAACAACAACAAAAAGTTTCCTTGACCCCTTTCTTCCTCCCCTGATGACTTCTACCTCCTCCACTGCCAAACAACCACTGGTCTGCTTTCTGTCACAATAAGGATAGTTTGCATTTTCTAAAATTTTACATAAATGGAATCTTCCTCCTCTTCTTCCTCATAATATTTTCATCTAGTTCTGTTATTAAAGTAATTTGGTCACCAAGAATCAACTGATCAATTTTATGGAAAATATGTACAGAAAAGATACTATAACTTTCTTACATGTTTGTTGGAATTCATCAGTGAAGTCATCTGGGCCTGGAGTTTTCTTTATATGAAGGTTTTTATTTACAAATTCCATTTTATCTATTTGTTCTTGAGATTTGCCTTTTAAGAAAATTATTCAATTTCTCTAAGTTGTTGAATTTATTGGCATAATGTTGTTTATATTATTTTTTCATAATAACTTTTAACATTCTTGTCTACTAATTCTATTTGTCATATTTGGGTCAATTTCAATTGATTTATTTTTATCCTTTTTATGGGTCAGTTTTCCCACTTCTTTGCATGGTAATTTTTTATTTGATGAGAGAACAATTAGAAGAAATACTACATACAAAAAAATTAAATTATAATGAAAATCAGAGAAATTTTAATGTTGTTAATGATGAAGAAATGAAGTGTGGTTTAGTTTCTATGTAAGGAGAGATCACAATGAACAGGTATCTTCAAAGGACTTATGAGATGGGTAGCATCCCAGATAACTAAAGATGATTTAGACAATTAAAGATGGTAGGGGGGTGGGAGAAAGGGATTCAGTAAGAGAGAAGAGCTTGAATCTAGGATGATCTGAGAGTTTTTGAGGAACACTGACTAAACAAGTTTGGTTGGAAATTAGGGTGTATTAAAAGAAGTAATGGTAAACACATGCATTTCAACATTTGATTACATTGTTTGCGTATGACATGCCACCCTCAGAGATTGCCAATACCTTGAAAATAGGTGCACACACAGGTGCCCATGCATTATAAATGTGTATATTTTTATATATGAGTGTGTTTGAGTGTGTTTTCTTACATATATATTTATATATATTCTTATATGTTTTCATATACATTCATATATATAGATATATATTCTTTTTCACAGCCTCAGGTGCAGTAATAGATGCAAAATAATTATTTATTTAATTGAATTATGTTTTAACACCTTTTTGGCAATATTGTCTGCTTATAAATAACTGGTCTACACTGTTTGATAGAGCAGCTGTTAACTTGTTTTGCTACTAAGCACAGCAGCCAGTGGAGCCTCCATCCACAGATTGCTGGGTCAAAATCTGCTCAGGTTAGAACATCAAGTACTTATCCTAAGTTTAGGAACGTAGAGTAACACTCCTAGGCCAGGTATTAAAAGCACTATTTTCTACTTGCCTTACCTTCTCTAAGGAAAGGAACCAAATTATTAAAAGAGATTTGCTAAATTAAGAGAGCTTTGTTATTTTATGCACATGATTTCATCTTTTGTGATTTCATCTTCATCTCTTGAGAATTTTTCCATATGATAGTTTATGAATTAAGTAAATAATATATATTTATCTTTACTTGTACATATATATGCAGTAAAGCCTTAACACTTTGGAACCCACCAGTATAGAGTATATGATCATTTGGAAATGATTCATGAAGATGTTTGGCCTTGTATTATATATGAAGAAAGTAAAATAATAGCCTAAATAAGATTGATGGGGATTGTTATATGTAAAATTTGATTACAAAAGCAAATTGACAATTGGGATAATAATGATATAAATTATTCCATTAACTTGTTCTAACTATAAATAAGCTTTTTACAATACAAAGGTTTTTTTTATGTAAATAGAAAGTGCACTCACTAATGACAATTTAGTGCACACAAGTAAAGGAGGAAAAAGAGTCCTAGTAACCTCAAAGTATATATTTCTATCCAGTCTTTTTGGATTTTACATAGAGGGTTTAGGTGTATGTGGGGGATATGGTTTTACAGAGTTACAGCCATATCTAATTAAATTTTCTAACTGAGTGGTAAAACCTTTCTGAAGTGTTCCCCCAGAGAAATTTTTTGTGTCAGATTATAGGTTTATAGCCTCATTAAGACATAATAATTCATAATACTTTGTTTTTAACCCACACTGTCTCTATGAAAGAGACATGTCTCTATGAAAGTGCATACTCATTGTGCAAATGTCAGAGCCTCTTGATGTCCCAAGTGTCATCAGTTGTGGCTGCTGATATGATTATTCCCCTGGGAACAACTGTAGGCCATTCTAAGTCAGGAAGTATACCTGTGGACAGTCTCCCAGCATAATCCTCCTCTTTTTACATGAAGATTATCCATTCTTGAGCTCTTTCTTTTGATACATTTCTTATTCATGTATCAGTTAGGATTGAGTTCAGCTGTATGTAAAAGAACGCACAAAATAATAGTGGCTTAAATACATTTGTTTTTGTCTCCTCTGAAACAAATCCAGAAGTCAGCAATTTCATTCAGCTGGATTCATAGCATGATTTCCAGGCCATTTCCATCTTTCTTCTTTGCCATTCTTACTGTGGGGCTTCCTTCTGCCAGGTCATTTCATGAGCCTAAATGACTGTTAGACCTTCAGAAAGTCCCACCGCATTCTAGGCAGGAAGCAGGGGGCAAGGGGATACAACAGAACTTCATGCAACTGAGTTGGCCCTTTTCAAAATAATTGTTCTGACAGTCTTACCCAACAACCTCCGTTCACATCTCATTGGCCAGAATTTAGTCATACCTAGTTTTAAGAGAGTCTGGAAAATGTAGTTTTTTAGGGGGAAAATTGCTAACAAATAAAAATAGAGTGCAGTTATTCAAAAAGAAGGGAAGGCAACCATCTAAAGTGCTTATTGTTTTTAAACTACATTATACAACTATGTACAACCAAGTCGTACTCAAATCTCACAAGAAGAACACATGAAGGGTATATTTCTAAGCCATTGCAGAACTTTGGAAAAGAAAAACACTTTCATTTACTTTCATAAATAAAAGGAAATTTGACTAAGTATACTGTTCTTTGGTCATAAACTTTACAAAAATCTCAAAACCCTCTGTGCATTGATCCATTATCATCACATTCAATGTTTTAGACAAGCTTCAAAGCTAGACTTAAATTTTCCTTTCTGAGTAACTTGTTTTAGCTGTTATTTTTGTTGTACTTTGCTTTGCTTTGCACTAATCATATTTAATTGGTACATAGAATTTATTTTTCAATATTATTTTCTGCAAATATTTTATTATATGAAAGTAAATGTTATAAAAAAAGTAATTGTTTACAGCTTCCTGAATAAGGAGTTTTAATGTAGGTGTGGCTTTCTTTCATAAGAAATACTGTTTCTTATGGATAAAAAAAATGTCAAATACCTTTGCTGAAATTTTAACCTGACTTTAAGCCTAAGCCTTGGCATTGGAAATCATCCAAAATAATTGTCAGAAAATCTGCTATATTATCTATAAGATATGAGTAAAAGTAAATAGACTCTTTTGTCTCTTTTGAAGTACCTTTGAACAGAAATGGAATTGAATTCTGTCTCATGACTTAGAAAAAGAAGTAAATTGTCTTCATGTTGCTTATCTACAGTATGTGTAGAGTAAGGAATATTTGTTTCTTTTCTGCATAGCATGGCATACAAACTTCAGAAATATTTGGCTTACAATGTAATGCATAGAAGTTTCCAAAAGTGTTATAAATTGATTGTGGTAATTTGTATCAACTCACTATATTAGATTTCTATTGCTGTATAACTATTATCCCAAAACTTAGTGGCTTAACGAGATAACATTATTTATCTCATAGTTACTGTGAGTCAGGGATCTAGCTGAATCCTGTGCTTCTAAATTCCTCAGAGAATTGGGACACATGACTTAGGGGCACAAACAAGAGAAAATACTTTCAGATTTGCTTCAGGTGAAAATCCATTCCAGTAAAAACATTAAGGATACATACATATATTTTTTTCCTCATCTTGATTAATTTTGAAGGAAATTTTTGCTTTCCATCTTTGTTTTTATTGCTGTATACGGTGAACAATAGCTACTGTAGAAGTCAGAGAGCACCCTTTAAATATTCCCTTGGGGCTAACTCAGAAGAATCAGAACAGCCATACGATAAATCCTAGCAATATGAATATACTTTCATGAAAAATGTCTAGATTGTCTTGAATTTTCAGGAAGACTCTTATTGAAATATGACACTTAAACTAGGTACCTGCACCACTAATACTACTGAGAGACAAATATAATTTCTAGTAATTGCTTAAGTGATAAAGACTGGCTTTAATTATATAAAAAATTTTTTTCTGAAAATATTTCTATTTGATGACCTAGAGATAGCTATGTTAAAATGTTTACTTAATTTGTATATTTAAGATTGTACTATTTTCCATATAGTTACAATAAATCTCTATTTCTCTTTCTCTCTTTGGCTACTTTTTTGAAACAGACTAAGATGCTTAGTGAAGCAGCTGGAAAGAGGTGACGTTAACGTTGTTGACTTAAAGAAGAACATTGAATATGCAGCATCTGTGCTGGAAGCGGTTTATATCGATGAAACAAGGTAAGTTTTAATCTCCTCTCCCTTTTATCCTCTTTGCCTCACTCCCCTCTTTGTTTCTCTTTCTTGACCATCCTTTATCTCAAACAGGAATTTAGCATATCTTTGTATGAAACCAAAATCAAAATCTCAATATTTAAAAGGTTCTTCTTCACTGAGCTAATTAACTGGATCATGATTCTCTTAAAAAAAAAAAAAATATATATATATACACATTTCGATCCAAATGCGTTAATACCATAAAACAGTCAAACACTAAAGTTATAAAATTAAAAAAAAAAAATCTCCTCTCCCTACCCTCACTGTCTTTAGGCCCAGACTTTTAAATGTCAGAGACATGTATAGGCTTATCCTAGTTTTCACTGACGTAAGGGTTTTCCACACATTCCCATGAGACATATTTGTCACTCTCTATGCAGAGCCCAACTGAATTTTTGAGTTTTTTGTTTTGTTTCATTTTGTTTTGTTTTGTTTTGTTTTGAGACAGAGTCTCGCCCTGTTGCCTGGGGACATATGGCATCATCATAGCTCTCAGGAAACCTCAAACTCCTGGGCTCAAGTGATCCTCATGCCTCAGCCTCCTGAGTAGCTGGGAGTACAGGCGTGCAACACCACGCCCAGTTAATTTTTTTACTTTTTATAGAGATAGGTTCTCTCACTATTGCCCATGCTGGTCTCAAGCTCCTGGACTCAAGCAATCCACCTGCCTGGGTCTTCCAAAGTGCTAGGAGTACAAGCGTGAGCCACTGCACCCAGCCTCCAAATGTGTTTTTGATCATTGCCCAAACCTAGCCTCATAATTAGCAGAGTGGTAAGGAGATTAGGAAAGGAGTATTTATTTGAAGAGACTTGCTAGCCCAGTGCTGCAACTCTTAGCCAAGCCATTTACTCCCACCAGGATATTTGAAAAATCCAAGAAATTTAACTGATGTCTCTCGGTGTTGGAAGACTGAAACTTGTTCCTGATTCCATTTCAAAAAACAAAAACAGAAAAACACACAAAAGTGACAGGCTGATTAGGGATACCTGTGAATTTAGAGGTAAGAGGGAAACCCATGAAGGAGAGACATGCATTTCCAGAGTTTGATACAGAAAAGATGCTAAGTTTTTTCAAAGCTGTAAGGCAAATGGAGTCTCTTGAAGTACCAAAGAGTACTTAAGTCAGGTGGTGAAAAAGAGGCTGCATGGGATGATTAAGGGCATAAGAGCCAGGATACAAATTGTAAAAATTCTGCAAAATATCAGAGACCATATAATGCTCAAGGTACCCTCTTGGTGTGGCAATTTCTCTAAAGGCCCCACAAACAGTCCCCAGGAGAAAAAATAGCCAGCACTTGAGCATTTGTCACGTAGATGACAGCAAAACCACCAACCTAGCAAGACCCTTTGGCCTATAATTTTCTGCCTCTGCCTTCACATTGCTGAAGAATCAGAAGCAGAGGAACATGGAGCGGGAAGACACCCACCAGCCCCTTCCCCTCTGCAGGTGTCCATGCCGGGTCAGCCTGGAGCTTGAGGAAGGTGATAAATGTTAAGCTAGCTAGATGAATCATCAAAGTTTTTATTTATCTATGTGTACTGGACTTCACACATACACATTCACATAATGTTGCTTGATATTAATGAATTCACATGATTGAAAAATGAAAATATTGTAAAAAGGGCTGGATGAAAGTCTTGCCTCCACCCTGGTCCCAATCTGCTCCATTCCCCCATAAATTTCTTGTACATTGTACATCTTTACAGTGATTTATTACAAATTTTTATTTCATATGCTTTCCTTCCTCCTTTCATGGAAGGTAGTACACTATAGACATGGTCCATTCCGTTTTGTTTTTTTTTTTTTTTTACTGAACAAGGAAACTTAGAGATCTTCCTAAATCATGTTCTGAACTTTTTGGTATCTGACAACAAGAAATTTCATTAGTAACTGACGGAAAAGGCCATGGTGAGGGCTGTGCTGTGAGGTGATTCTTTCTTCATCCCTAAAATAGAACTCTTCTACTAAGCCATGATTTGGAGATACAAATTCAGGGGGGGAAAAGGCAAATTTTTAATTATAAATTCTGCCCAGAATTGTTGTCCTGGTTAATTTTTGTGGAATGTGTATAAATGCATATGATTCTTTTAAGTAGACAAAGATCCAAAGTGTAAATTTTTAAAAATTTGGTGTTCCTATAGTATCTTTGCTCCTTTGTTTTCATGTATGTTCTTATTGTTCACAAGTTGACTGACTTTAACAGGTTTAAGATTTCTTCAATCTGTCCTTGACCATTTTATTTTATCTATAATATTTAAGAACTTTTACCAAAGAATTATTTATAGATGTACATCATTCATCATGTAATGGCATAATACTAACTATATGGTTAGCCTTAATGTCCTGTCTTTCATTTGATAGATTATTATATATTTATTCATTTTTCTGTTGTATTTTCTTTCTCTGAAAATTATGACTGTAATTATTTTGCTTATTTTGCTAACTCATTTAAGCATATGTTATATTTAATGTATAGTTCTTTGTCATTTGAAAATTGCACTTTTGTGAGGAAAAAAGTTAAGCACAATGCTTAGCTGCTTCATGGTAGAAATATAACTTTTTTCTTTTTTGCTTCTTGTAACAAAACATCTCAGCTCTTAATACTACATCATTCCTAATTTTTACTCACATGATTCAAAACTTTTCACTCTTTTATTTAATACTTCCATGGCATTGTGATTTTTAAATTAGATTAATAATAATAACACCTAGAATTAGTATCATCTTCAAAGGGCTCTTAGTTTCATTATCTCACATTAGTCTCACCACAATCCTGTGTGGTTGGCAGGATGATTATTACTGTCTACATTTTACTAATGAGAGAATTAAAGCTCTTGGAAGTAAAATGGTTTGTCAAAGGTCATAGAGCGAGGCATTGGCAAAACTGGGACTCAAAACTAGCCTTTGACTTCTTACTTAGTACTCCTTTCTATATAGCAGGCTCTTCTCAGAGTATTGCTAAAATAGGATGGCTTTTAATGACCTCTGAAAGATTTAAATGGCAATGTATAAAACATTTTGATAGCTGTAATTATAAATCCTATAGCTAACATGCATTAAGGGCCTACTATATGCTAAGAACTCTTTTAAGCATTTTATATGTACTATTTCCTTTAAATATCACAACAACCCTATGAGATAGAAACTCTATTATTACCATTTTGCCTATAAGGAAACTGAATCACAGAAAAGTTATATAGCTTACCCAAGGGAACACACGGAATAAATACATTGAAGCATGGGATGAAGTCTTTGGCAATCTGACTCCAGGGCTTGGGCTGCTAAGCACCATTCTTATCCTCATCCCACTTGTAACATTTAACTAACAGGTGACTTCAGAGACTCAGTGGAAGACTGATGAAAGCTCACCTGCTCTCAGTGTCATCAGTGATACACAGACTGTGTCGCATCTCTTCCCAATTCTGCCTTCAGTGTTGTCACATTGGTAGCTGAAAATGGGCCACGGTGAAAATATTTACACCATGGAAAATGACAAATACTACAAATCAGAATTTTTCCCCTGGAGAGTCTATTGTTAAACATTGACCATTATACCACTGGTTAAGATTACTCCTTATGAATCTTCTAAGAGCTGTGATATTATGACCAAAATATCAGCAATAATACTAATGTGGTTTGATTTCCTATATATCTAGTAAGACCCACAGCAGTAAACTGAGGATGTTTCTTCTGAGATGTGCATGTAATTATTAAAGTGTCATTTGCCTTAGGAGCGGGTCTCAAGAAGCATTTATTGCTTTTAAACTTTAAATTAAAAATTGGCTGACTTCTGACATGTTTTTTAAATGGAAAATTCTCTTTCTAGAAAAAAATGATTCAGTGAGTTTTTCAGAGAGGTGTCGTCTGGGCCAGATTGAAAGAAGGTCAACACATGGTAAAGCAGGATAAAACAGAAACTATAATATTAATTGGTTTGAAACACACATACACACACACAGTCACAGACACCCCTCTTCCTACTAAGCCTTAACGACTGCAGGATTTCAGTTAAGAAAACAAAACAAAACAAAAATATTTTTCAAAAGATGATTTTGGTGAGAAAAATGAAAACAGAGTTTCTGATACAAATTGAATTCTGACTTTCTTTGTGGAGATTATAGCACAATTCCCTGATGAATATGACTGCTTTTTCTAAAGACATTTTCTAATGCAAATGCCAATATTCTGTGATTCTTGCTTTCAGATATGTCCCTAGAGGCTACTGTTTTTTAAAGTTGCACAGTTGTAATCCAGAAACATGTGGCCTAAAAAACAAAACAAAACAAAAAATCCGTTTGATTGTCTTTATTTGGATTGGAATATTGCCAAGCAAAGTAGTGTCCTTGGCCTCATAAACAGCAGGATAGGCAGCTGATGGAAAGGTACATTTTAGAGATGGATATTGTGCTTACTAATATCTCCTAAAAACACAATTTATAACTTCGTTTGGTTAATGTGAAGCAATCTGTTTTATAATTACCATGGTTAGAGCATAGACTCCAAATTCAGAAAGAGTGGGTTGTTCAAAGCTTCCACTCAATACTCTCTTTCTTTAACTAGTTTCCTTGGCATCTACAGTCCCTCTCTTTATTATCTACAAAATAAGAATAAAGACAATCCTCACCTCATAGGGTTGACATGGGAGTAAAGGTAGCATGATGCCTGACAGAGTAAAATTTAAGTAATAATCAATTTTTTTAATTTTTAAATAAATTTCAATTTATTAACTACTAAGAAAATGCAAATACCTCTAGGATATGTAACACATGAAAATATATAATTTATACATCTTAGTGAAAGTATCAAATAATTTTCTGAGAGCAGTTTTTGATCCTAAGAAAATGAAAACAAGGAGGCTAGTTACCAGGAAATGAAAGCAAAGTATACAATGATGGAAAAAACTTTAATGCATACATACACATCTCTGTACAAACACCCTCACTTGGCTTCCATGTCTTACCAA